GCGCGTGTGTGCGTGTGCGTGTGCGTGTGCGTGCGTGTGTGTGTTGGAAGATGTGTTTTTTGCTCAACTGCAGAGATGTTTTCCATGCAAAGCCAACTCCTCTTCACGTTGTCTCTCGAGCTCCTTCGCGAGGAGTGCGACCTGATCTGTGCGACCCGACCAGAGCCCAAGGGCTTCCAAAGAAAGAGCCGTACGCTTAGCAATGCAAGGCACGTGCATGCGCCACGAATTCTCCCGATCCTGATTATAGAGCAGGCGGCTGCGGGCAAGACGAATCACGAAGTACTCTAAAGCTGGGCCGTGGACCCTGCTGGCGAGCTTGCTGCTGCTGCCCAGGTGGCAGGTCACTTGCGCCCTGACTGCACTTTCCACCCGTCAACAGCTCCGCAGTCGCAGCCGGCAGCTCTCCAGGTCTATAACGCTACAATATTGTCGCATGCCGCAATCTGCTGCGTGCCATGGACTGTACCGGTACCGTTATTCGACGTACACTCTGTTTGGATCCGACAGCTCAGGCTCGCTTGACACGAAAACATGACAAGCCTAGGGCCCAGTGCAGATCTCTGTCTTGACGGAAATGTGTGGCGATGCGCATGCGATAGCAGAGCACGATATCTTGGACATTGCCACAACTGAAGTCTACTGACAGCCTGGCCAGTGTCACAGTGCTTCCGGCACGTGGTATGCTGCTCAGGAAAAGTGTGTGTCTTGGGCCAGGGCTCTTTGGCAACGCCATCAAGCTCGTTGAGAAGTCGCTCCTTAAGCAGATCGAAGTGTGCTACAACAGCTTTCGGAATGACATGCCTTTGGACATCCGGCAAGCCGCAGAGACCTAAACCGCCCATTGCCCCAAAAAGGACCGGCTACTGTAGCTGTAGCTGCGTAGCTGCATCGTATGAACATCTCTGAGGTCTGCAGGCCTGCCTGCCCTGGTTTGCCAGAACCCTTCGAGAATCTTCCCTGCGGCTGCCAGAGCTCAGCGCCTCACGAGGGCGACTTGTCCTGGGAATAAGCGGGCCTGAACCGATGAAACCTCTCGGTCGCTCTCTCCAGGCTATGAAATGACTCAAAGCGTTGTGCGCGGTGAGAGAATCGGACTATCACCCAAATTGCCATCCTGAGGATGCCGCCACAGGCTCACTGCTGGCTTTGAGTTGCTCCAAGGCCTTTGTCATTTCGCTTGGCGCTGTAGGGCTCAAGTGCATTTTTGCCTCCCGCCTGGCTAGGACGAACCTACGATGCAGGGTAGAAGGGCTTTGGGTCGCATCAACAACGAAGGAAGACAAGCCTTTGCCCGGCATATGAAGATTGCTGGCAACTTGCTTTTCGAAAGTGCAAAGGAGATTCGCAGCTGTATCCGTTGCCTTGCCGCAGCTGGGTCAGGTTCAGTGAAGCGCCAAGAAGACGAGACTGAGGCGACCGTGCAAGCTCCCAGGCCTTCTTGAGATGACCGAGGCCCCAGCACGCCGAGTCGCGCTGACTCCCGCACCTCAGGACGACAGAAGCAAGCTTGAAAGGCTGGAGCCTTGACTTCATTTTGAGGTATCGAGCTGAAACCAACGGGCCTGCTTCAGGGAAGGCTGTGACAACTTCGGGAGACAAAACCTTCAGAAGGACCTCCTTGCTCGGATGGGCTTAAGGCCTGCAGCCATGCAAGAGGCAACACGGGCGGAACTTCCAAAATCTAGCATCGAAGCCTGGGCCACCGGACTTGCTCCAGGCCTGCCCGTGTCCTGGCACGGAAGACACCGGGTTCGGCAACCAGTGCACAAGCAACTTTCGGCGGCTGCACTGCTTTGAGGATGGGAGATTTCGTCAGGCTTGAACCATGGAAGCTATCCTGCTTCACTGACACCGTCTATCAGGCTTGAAGGCCTAAAAACAAGTATTCCTGCGAGCGCCTTCTGCACGAACTTTGCTTCCAGATCCTTCAGAGGCTTGTCGCTGAGATCAGCGCCCAAGCCGATGCCTGCTAAACTGGACATGCTGGTGTTTTCCGTCACGCGGCCTGCCAAGCCTCAGACGATCTGAATGCGGACTGCCCGTCCAGCAACTTAGCCCTCTTCACTCCGAATCTAAGTTTGCATAACCAAACAGTGCCTGGGGCGATACTCGACTGTCTATGGCTTATTTCTGGCTTGCTGATTGTGAGCGGTTCCTCAGCATGCGTGTTGCGAAGCATCAGTCTTCCTTGGAATCTGTTGGACACCTACTCCGTCGAATGAGCCTGAACCGGCTTTCCATCTGCAAATCATAGCAAACCCATCGCCCATAACGGCTTGACTTCAGATAGCTTAGGGGCCCCTTGTTCCGGCTTTGGCTTGACTGTGGTATGACTTCGGCTTCAACAGCAAGGACTAACGTTAAGCGCACAGAACATCACGAACGGCTCGGCTCAAGTGCCTAGCAGCGATCGCAGATGAGAACACAGTACGAAACGCACAATCCGGCGTTTGTGAGAACCATCGAAGCCTCAACAGCTCTTCTCGTCTTGC